TGCGTTTGGAAATTTCGTCTTCTGTTTCACTTACATTTCCTTGAATATTTATCCAAAAAACTCGATAACCTGCCGTTTAAAACGGGTAGGGTTGAAGGAAGAGGACACTTAGGTGTATAAATTTTGGGTGTATGTGCATCTTTAACAAATATGCACAAAATGTGACCCTGAACCACTCATTTTCCCACTGCTTTACTTGTCATTAAACATAAACTTTTCCCTTCTTGACGATCACACGTCTATGCTGGGGTATTCAATCATTCATTTAGCAGTTTTAACTCCCGTTTCATCTGTATTCCACCTGTGTAGTTTTACGTGACTTCAATGCCTCCCAAAACGACCTCGAAGATGTGGGCGTCATCGAAAAGCCGCAGTTGTCCACCTTAACCATTCTAACTCTTCATCAAAATCATCTCTCCGCAATTCCCCTACTCAGGGCCTTTCCACGCCTTAAAGACGTCACTCTCGGTGATAATAGAATCAATTCGTTCAATCTGGAGTTCCTGCAAGGCCTTCATGAATTGGCCAACCTTGACCTCAGTCGAAATCGTGTTTCATCTGTGCCAGAGGGCATTCCACAGACTCTGCCTGCTCTGGCTCGATTGGACCTCTCAAATAACGAAATAAAGAGGTGAGGCTAGTGATAATACCTTTTGATGCTGTCACAAATATAATTCTAACTCCTCATGCCTGTGAAATTTTAGCATTCCAACCGAACTGGGTTTTATGGAGTCCCTAAATGTACTAGCCCTCAATGGAAATCCACTTCGAAGCATCGGGCAAAATGTCATAAATTCTGGAACAGAGGCACTAAAAACATTGCTAAGGGAGCGTCATAGGCCGGAAGACATACAGGAGCCCAAAAAGGGACCACTAACAGCTCCTTGTGATAGTGAGCCAGTTGTACCCACAAATCTCTATCAGAATCTACCGGCTGTGATCGTAGGTTCTGGTGTTGTTGACTGGGGACGCCGAGCGAAAAAGCAGACCGGAGGACACCGATTTGGTGCGCCCACAAAAGATGAGAATGAAGAACTTCCTCCTCTGGATGATCAAGAAGTCTGGAAAGCAGTGGCTCTCAGGGGATGTAATGTGGACGTCCCAGTAAAGAAGCTTTTTCTCTCCAATCATGGGATCGAAGCGTTTCCGATGGGGTGAGTGAACGACAAAATTTGTAATTTTTGTCTCGCACCCGGGATGGACTCGTTTTTGTCACCAAGGGTGTGTGAAACTGCTATGAGTACCGAGAATGAATTCATTTGTGTTTTTGATTTATTTGTATGAAGGCAAAGGCGTTTAGGTTTGTTAACGCCATAAGAGAGAGCTGGAGGAAACTAATGTCAACTACATCTTTATCTTTAACTATAACGCTAGTGAGATGTGGAACTGATGCGCATTACTTTCACTAATTTTAGGGTCATGGCCTTCCGAGAATCATTGATAGTTCTGGATCTTTCTCATAACAAGCTCTCACAACTTCCAAATGAAATTGACTCACTTTCAAGGTTGGAAGAACTTAACCTAAGGTAAATCCGCGCAACCATGTTTCTTGAGTTTACAGCTCAGGTGGCTTAGTAAGCTGGCTTCTCTTTTTTCATCACAGTACCAATGCACTTACTTCGCTTCCAGTCACTCTTTCCAAACTTTCAACACTGGCGGTACTCATTTTGGATTTTAATCCTGGGCTGGGACCTGAATTGCCCATAGAAGCCCTCTTTAAGGAACCACTTTGTCGGAGTCTGCGAGAATTATCGGCTCGTGGATGTCGGTTGACAACTCTACCATCAGCTAGTTTTTTATCTGCTGATAGAATGCCAGAATTGCAAACTTTGAATATCTCCGACAATGATATTGGAACTCTTGAACCGAGGCTGGGTCTTTGCACACAGATCCGGTATGTCGACGTAAAATGCTTACTTAGTAGATTTCAGTCGGCTTGATTTTCTGTCAGCTGCTTGTTTGTAGTGTTGAGGTACTGCTAAAGTATTTCGTTTCTATCCATGAACTCTGGCCAACATTCACACCACGCTAGAGCCTTTCAAGGACGTAAACTTTCTTTTCCACTTTTTTGGTCCGAAATTATTCTAACGTAGTCTACCCCACCTCATCGAATTGATATGAAGGCTAACTTGCAGATCTCAGAGTAACTGTGGGCTGGAAGGAGGCTGATTGAATTGTGATCACTAGAACTGATGTTGGAAGATATGCGAGCGATGGCGTATGAGACGTTTTGCATGTTTGGGTGTCGCACAGTTGGGTTACTGCTATAGATGGCACTCCTTTTCCATAAATGGGATCTTCCCTCCAAGCATCCCGCACGTTCTTAGCTAGACGAGTGCCTTATTTACTGAACTCAAAAGGCGCCCTTTTATGCTTGTGAATTTAAAGGTTACCCTAAATCTCTTATCAAAATTATTTTATTGACGAATTTAGTTACGCAAATCACTTTGTTTGCACTATGAAAGTAGAAATGGTTTGGATTGCCCAAATGAAAGCTCCTGAAATTTGCTTTCAATAGCCTTGCCTTGATTACAAAACACGTGCTCACTGTTTCCACTTGATTTCAATGGGCTTATGTGAAGAACAGGCAGCTATTGAGGTACACTCATCCCGGCGGCTACAAACAAGCGCACTCACTGCTTTAGCATGTTTCCACCCAAGGCAATTATTGCCGACGACATTTGCTAGCGCCGTGGAGCTGTGGTCACATACATTTGTCTAGGGGAACAGTTTATCAAGCGCCTTCTGCATGGCAATCAATGCATTATTTATCTGCTTCGCCCTTTGCAGTTGTATCAGGCCATGCGAATCTCTCACGATGCCAATCCCACTTGAGGTAATGGCAGCGCTGCCCCTTTAACTCGAGCTGATTCAAATGTTGCCTGTTCCTTGTTAAATTGGCAGCCCTGACGGAAAGACTCCGCGCTTCAGTGGTGTCTGGGCCGATTGAATGGATTCCAAGAATAGTGTTGACCCATTTTACCACATGGCAATTGAAAGCTATTTCGATAACCACAAAACCATTGGTCGACTTGATCTAGAGAGTCATTAGCTGTATTTTGGCTAAAAACGGTCAACAATTCTCGATGAGGATTGAGGCATGTGTGCTGAAAGCGGTAGCGCGGACTGCTGGCATTTTTGCATGCAGTTAACAACCATTTTAAGTTGCCCATTGTAGAGCTCGATTTTTGAATTGGATCGGACACGGTCCTGAGGTAACTTTTCAAACTTAACCACCAGAACATCAGTGCTTAATGAATTCAAAATGTGATGTAGCATTGGTTGGAAAATGAGTCACTTTTCGCCGAGTTAAGTAGAAACTGTCTTCGTCCCTCAAAATCAGTGGTGGTTGAAATTTCGTGGGGTTTTAAGCCTGCCGTAAACATTGTCATTTGATATGCGCCTGAATTGGTTTCAGAGAAGTAGGTCGCCGCTCCAATTAGTATTGAGGAGCAAATAGCTGTCAGACACTGACAGAGTTGCAAGACTTGTTAGGGCTCAAAGGCGCATTGTGATGTCAACCTGCCGAAGCAAGCATGTCGGCGAAAGAAGGTACATATCGGTGGGCACAAATTTCAAGCCTGTTCGCCTTCAGTTAGGAAGGATTTTGAACGTTGCCTCAGTCTTTCACAAGGCGCGGAAGGGAGGTGAATTGCAGGTTAGACGCTTGAATGAGTAGCTGAACTGCGGCACTTGTATCAAATTGCGAATAATTTCTAGTAAATTGGGATGTGCAATGGATTTAATCGGTATATTAGTAAAAGGAATGCTCTGCTTCGAACTGCTTCAGGGATTGACTGAGACTTTAGCGTGAACAGTGTCACCATGCGGTCAGCAGTCACCAAAGACGGTTGCACAAAGCTTTAAACTGAAATTCGAGGCAATACTTGTTCCAGAGCCAGAGGTCAGGTCAATACGTTCGTGGCTCTTATATGGCATGAAAGGGAACGAGTCTTGAGAGTTAGTGGCTGGATGGTTTCGCACCCAGTTGCGATGTCTCAGTTGGTATAGGGAA